GTAGGTCCACTGGGATAGTGGCTTTCATCAGAAAAGCAATTAGAGTGGCCATAAAAGAGACTGGCTGGTAGTCATGTCAACATTAAATTACATTTGAAAAACAACTTGTGGATTGTCAGAATCCAAAATAAATCCAGACTTGAGCTCAGTTCTGTGCCTAGTGTTGATGGGCATGTTCTTTGTTTACTGATTTTTCCCCCCTCCAAAGCAAACCTCCACAGTTGTATACAATAAATGATTTATGGTGGTTAGAGTGTTGCATTGTGATTTGTAAATCCAGGTTGTAGTGCTCACTGTGCCACACAACTCAGTGGATAGCCTTGGGTCCCTCACGCACACTAGGTTAATTGTTTAAATTGCTTTTATGTATGTTTGTATAATTGACATAGGCATCGAATTGTGCCTTCATTTGTAAGCCGCCCTGAGTCCCCCCTCGGGGGTGAGAAGGGCGGGGTAGAAGTAACTGAAATAATAATAATAATAATAATAATAATAATAATAATAATAATTATTATTATTATTATTATTATTATTATAGGTTTGACCTACCTCACTGTTAGGATAAAGTGAATAAGATAAAAGAAAGATAAAGGCAGTGTATAAATAGAACTTAACAAATAAATTAGGAGAGCTTTCAATTTAGCCTGCTGTTACTTTTCATGTATATATAGAAGTCATAGAATCAGCAAGTGTTGGATTAGAATTCGGAGGACCAGGGCTTGAATCCTTGCTTGTCCAGGAAAATCGTTTGGGTGACCTTGGGCAAGTCACACACACTTTTGGCCCCAGGAAATCTGTTGATATTGTGGGTTTAGGGTCACAATAAGTGAGAATAATCTTGGAGGCACCCAACAAAAAATAGCAGAGAGCCATGGCAGATAGTTTCATATAATTTGCATCTGGACCTCTTCATCTTACATTGGGAAAATCTGACTATCCTTTGTTAATAATAATGAAGATGATGAAATAATAATAATAATAATAATAATAATAATAACTTTATTTATAGATCACCCTCTCGCCCCCAGGGGACTCAGTGCAGTTTACACACAAGAATGGCAATGCCCAACTCAAACACAAACATTTTAAAATAAACAGAATAATACAAAATAATAACAATAAACTTGCGGCAAAACAGAAATTAACACCAAAATGAGGATCAATTACGAATAATCGAACGGAATTATACTAGTAACATAAATTGTTGATCTGTACAAATGCATTAGGTGAACTCTTTTCAAAGAGACCAGGCTCGGAAGATCAGACAATCATTTACTGATCTGTATGAAGCAATTGGGTGCTGTTGGTCCATACAGTCAACTGCTTTTTTGTCTTCTACTACTCCGTGTTTCATCTGATTTTTAAAGATTGTGTTTTCATTCAGTTTATATTGATATTATTGTTTTTAGTTGGAAGCTTTGGAATATGTTGATGTTAAGAACGTAATAGCTTAATATGGTGTATACCAGTTATGGCTAGCATTTATATAGGTTTTTTTTTCCTGGTAGTTAGACCACCTGTATTGTCTTGGTAATCCTTACATGACATTTAGATTAGTCTCTGTCAAATGTCCCCATTTTACAGATATGGGAACTGATTCTCAAAAAGAATAGATGTTTAATGCAGTGAACTTTTGAACAAAGAACTTCCTTCCTAATTTAACACTTGTGTTTTAAACCACCACATTACACCCTCTTTCTGTGTGGGCATGCATCTGACTCAAATATAAATTCCACTTACCACCCCCTTGGGTCAAATGATCTCACGTCCTAAAAGAAAGCCTTTTGAAATGTCTTACATTCAGCAGCATCCTACGTGATGTAAGTTGACTTGAGTTTAATTGGAATTATGCCAAGGGAAGCATGCCGAATTGTAGTTTTAATCAAACAGGTGTTAAGTCATGGTTTCCCCCTTGCAATTTGAGGAATTGGTAAAGTCCAAAGGAGAGAAGGAATGCTTTATCCATTAGGATGGTGGGTGATAGGGGACGAGATGATAGTCATGCCTTTCTCAGATGGGGAATTCCAAGAGCTTTCCTTTTGCTAGATGAAACTGAGGGCATCGTTAGAAATGGCACTAACAGCTTCATTTAAAACCGATCGGTTTTCCAAAAAATAAAAATGGGGGGGGGCCTTTATTGGAATGTCAGCACATTCTTTCCACTGATCATGATACATAGACCTCCTTCTCAGGTCCATTATTAGCAGCAGAGAGGGAAAAAACCCAATTCCCATTAGTGCCAGCGGGAGTTCTTTTTAATTCCTAGCTCAAATGGTAGCTCAGGGATTTGATCTCTGATGGGACTGCTATAATGAGGTTAAAACCTCCCATTCCTATTTACTGAAGGCTCAATAAAAATTCCCCTCCTTCCCACCCCCCACCCCTTTTTTTGGAATAGCAGGCATCTGGTTGGTGGTGCATTTGGTATCAGATATGTGGTTGTCCTATATCTAACCCAATGGTGTTTTTTTTACCTATAACACACAACATGCAACCATGCGGTAAGAATGTCATTAGCCAAACAATACAGATCATAAATGCCATACTTCCTAGGAACTTAGGTTAATTGTCCATCTCAGTTAGGCCTACTGAATCAATGGGAACTTGGCATGCATATAAGTGCTGTTGATGTGGCAGTCTACCCTAATTAGACTTGTTGTGTGCCTTGAAGTAATTTCTGACTGATCACAACTCTATGGAAACTGTACCATGGGTTTTGCTTGATAAGAGTTGTTCAAAGTGGGGTTCAACTTTCTCTTCTAAATTCACCACACTGATTCTGGGGGCCACTGAGCTGCAGAACTTGCTTGACTGAAAGGTTGGTGGTTTGAATCCGCGGAGCGGAATGAGCTCCTGTCATTAGCCCCAGCTTCTGCCAACCTATCAGTTTGAAAATATGCAAATGTGAGTAGATCAATAAGTACTGCACTGGCAGGAAGGTAACAGCGCTCCATGCAGTCAGGCCAGTCACATGACCTAGGAGATGTCTACGGACAATGCTGGCTCTTCAGTTTAGAAATAGAGATGAGCACGACTCCCCAGAGTCGGACTCGACTAGACTTAATGTCAAGGGGAGACCTTTACCATTTACTACGACTTTATTAGGACTATCAGATTTATGCTGATAGGGGAATCATGCAACTATCCAGATACTATTGAACTGCAACCTCCAGTGGGCCTAAACATCATAACCAATGTTTAGGAATTGCACTTCAACATCTGGAGTACTGCATCATTCTGATCTAGACTGATTCAAGCTATTGTATACGGAGCCAGGCTGTTGGTCCATTGACCAGCCACTGCCCTGAGTGTAGCATCTGTTCTATCCATGCCTGAAAATACAGGGGATTGAGTCTGGGGGCTGCTACATTCTGTCACTAAATTATATCCCTTCCCCAAGTAATCCCTAATAATAGTTTAATTATTTTTGGTGTTCAACATATTAAAGGCTTTCAGGAGAGAGAGGGCAAAAACAATGCTTGATTTTTCCCCTCCAGGTGGCTGACAAGGTCAAAGACTACATATTGTAGTACCAATGCATAATAAGAGGAAAGACCTTCAAGTTCTTTCCCTTATTATTATTGCTCCCCTGCCATACATTTTAGATTTCATTTTTTTCAAACCACTAAATCATTTGGTAGCTCCCAGGGGTGGCTGTATATCTCGATGTCTTGTTTAAAATCCATATTTATAGCACTGGGACATAATGTCTACTTTCTTTCTTTCTTTCTTTTTCTTTTTCTTTCTTTTTTTTTTTTTTTTGCAAAGATCTTTTTCTATAAGCTTTAAAAGAAAACTTCCAAAATGCTGCTGAAAGCTATACACATTTTCCATGCTTCAAAACCTTAAACAGACTTTTGTCTTATCTGAGGAATTCATTAGCTTTGCCCTTCTCCGAAAGCAATTAGTTTCCTTCCACAAAGTTTAAAGAGCGGTCCTTTTAAAGTTTCTTTGCCACCATGTGACCCTTACAAAAGCCTCTGCCTCATTATGTTATGTAAAAATTCATCTGAACATACCCTGTTCTCATCTCCAATCTACAAAGGCTATTTCATCAGAGCCCAGAAGGTAATTTTTCACCAGATAGATTAGTTCAAAAGGTAACCAGCTCAGTTAGTAGGGGACCATATGAATAGAATATATCTCCATGGGAGAGATACAAGAAACACTTACATTAGAAATACAAGTGTGTTTAATTCAGAAATCAATATTTTCTATACTCCAATGTGGGATCTTCTACTGGAGATGGGCTACATTTCCCAGTAGTGATCAGGAAATAAAACTTATATTTTTGCTCATCAGCTGATTGGTGCTTTTTATAAAACATGTACATAAATACTGAAAGAAAATAATGTATATTTCAGTGTCCAGTGGGCCCTTGGTGTCTGTTAGGGTTTGTTTCAAGGATACTAAAACTTATAGATTCTCAAGCCCCATTATATAAAATAGTGTCCTTATAAAAAAGTAAAGGTTTCCCCATGACATTAAATCTAGTTGTGTCCGATGCTTTGGGGTGGAATTGATCTCCATTTCTAAGCCAAAGAGCCGGCGTTGCCTGTAAACGTCTCCTAGTTCATGTGGCCAGCATGACTGCATGGAGTGCTGTTACCTTCCTGCAGAAGTGGTACCTATTGATCTACTCACATTTGCACGTTTTTGAACTGCTAGGTTGGCAGAAGCTGGGCCTAACAACGGGAGCTCACCCTGCTATCTGGATTCAAACTGCTGACTTTTTGGTCAGCAAGTTCAGCAGATCAGCAGTTTAACCTGCTGTGCTACTGGGGGTTCCAGTGTCCTTATATAAAATTGCAAAAACAAGGTTTGCTATGGATTTTTGGTAGGTGGGCAACTATTTTCAGTCTGTGCATGATGGAATTTGTGGATGCAGAATCTGTGAATGGTTTTTACACTTAAACAACACAATGTTGTAACTATTGAAAATGATTATTAAAATACTATTTGAACTGATAAGTCCTAAATATTTTTTTCCTCCTTCACAGGTTATTTACTTTCAACGAATTCCATCTCTTGCGTACTACACTCTGCTGGGTCTTCTTGCAGCAAAACCCCAAAATCCAGATAATTCCATCTTATGATGCCATCCTCACATATTTCAGCAGGTAGTTACATCTATAGTATTTTTTTCCTACTTTTTTTTCCGACCTTCCTTTAAAGAGCTCTAAATGTGCTGTGTAATTATGCTCTGAAAATATGAGCCTTCTCCATCTCCCTACTTTAATACATCTAGTGTAAATAATTAGATAGTCTTTCTCCATGGTCCCAGCATCCAGCCTATATGTTGAAAATAAGTATTGTTTGGGTTTTTGTGTTTTTGTTTTTGGTTCTTGAAAATCTATATTTGCATATGCATGATATCTTGGAAATTGGACCCAAGTCTACACATGACATTCATTTATGTTTCATATACACCTCATATACATAACCTAAAGGTAGTTTGAAATAATTATGTTAAACAAAGATTTTACATATTGAACCATCAGAATGGTCAATCTGTATGTAGTACAAGCTGCGTGTTCTTCCAGACAGATATTCCAAAGGCACTTAGGATGGTTCAAAGCATCAGCTATGTGGCATTTGGGGTGCTATGTTTAGGTATAGTTGGCCAGCACCCTGCTCCGCTGGTAGCCAATTCATTGGCAGTTTCAGGCATCTCTAAAGATCTCTGGTCTTCTCTAATGGTCGTCCATTCATGCAGTACCCAGGCCAAACTCTGCTCATGCCAGTGTGGTGTCATGGTTCGGGTGTTACATTAGGACTAAGATTCGGGTTTCAGATCCCCACTTGGCCATGGAAACCCACTGGTTGACCATGGTCAAGTCACACTCACTCAGTCTTGGAGGAAGACAAAGACAAACTCTCTCTGAACTATTTTTTTAAAAACTCATGATAGAGTCATCAGAGGGTTGCCACTTTCCAAGAGTCATAGGAATGATGTCTTATGGATTTCCAGGGAATGGAATAGATACATGAGAAGGGTAGCATGGTGAAAGCACACACCATCATTCCTTCACTCAGAGAAAAGATTTCAGCATCTGACATGAACCTACACGCATGTGCTTGTTTTGGACCTTAAAAATGAAAGGGGGGGGGGGGAGGCAGCAAAGCCTTCTACTCCTATAATGCTCCTCTTGAACATTTGTTTTGAGCAGTTTAAGAAGTGTAGCTATGGGATGGGAGAGAATATGGAATTCTGCCCTCCAATGAGATTTCCCCAGATTTCTAGCTTTGCTGAAGAAAACAGATGGAAAATCATTCACTTTTAGAACTTTGTGTCTGCGGTCACTTTGTAACTTTGCTTTGGATCCCTAAAAAATATTTCTAAATACTCAGTGAAGTTTTAAGTTACTGCATTGTTGGATATTTGGGGATGTAAGGAAAGGGGAGGAAGAATACCTGTACTCCTGTCTGTCCTGTCAAGGAGCTGGACTGTAGCTGGCAACCCAAAAATATGCATAGATCATAATGCAAAAGCCACATGCACTTTGGCATTTGGCTTGGTATAAATGAGCCTCAGTTGGTGCCTGGCTTGGGGACTAAGGGGAGCTGATGACTTTGCTGTGACTCCCATCTTCTTATTTCCAATTTCATGGTAGTGTAGAGAGCATTGGGGGAAGAAAGAGATGGGGACTGGAGAAAGAAAATCCTGTCCCAGGCAGATCAGCAATAAATGCTGTTTGTGTCCTCCGAGACAGACTGCATAGTTGCCTCATGCACAACACTCAAGCCAGTCAAGATATTTTAGCACCAGAAGCAGAAATGCTCCCACACACACACACATACAACAGTTCTCCTCCTCTGTGGCAGTAAAAATAAAGGGATAATAAAGTTAATAACTAACAGTTTGCTGCATTTTCATGGCAACGAAGGTCTGCTGCCTGAGGCTAATGGTGAAGCTGACCTTAGTGCTAATGTTCATATTGGAGTTCAATTTAATCTTAAAGGGATGTCATGCCTCGCCTGTGCAAATGCCTTCAGTTATCTTAGTCCTTGTCTTTTAAAACTTTGCCTTTTTTGTTTTGTTTTTGTGGCTACTATCCCCATGAGACATTCTTTCCTATGAGTCATGTAAAGCTATAAAGAAATTACTGTTTGGCTCCAAATGAAGCTCCCATGCCTGGAATCGACCGCCCACCCCTCCCTTTTCTCTCTCTTTTTCTCTCTTGACCAAGAGAAAGAAAATGAGCTGAAGTCAAGGGTGAATCATTGCTTGCTAGTTTGACCTGAGAAGCACTGGGTCTATGAAAAGCATACAAGAAGATGAGAAAGTGTTTTATACCGACATGTCCAGAATTGTAACTACCGTATACAGCTTACATTTACAATAATCCACATCACACTATATTTCCCAATGCACTTTGAGCATTCCATTTTTCAAATGGATTTTGCTTTCTAAATGGCATTACTGATTAACTATCTTTCCAGTATAAACCCAATCTGTTAACCCACCAATTCTGGTTTTAATTTCAAACTATTTCATCATACACATCTGTATTCCTTTAGTTTAATATGATCTTATATAACTTCCTGCAGTTCAGGACATCTGCAACTGGAGGAGGAACATATTGCATTTATTCATGAATTCATAGGCACATGTATGCAGTACTAAGGAGGAACCCGGGTATCCAGATTTCAATGGGACCTCATTGCAGGAAGCAAAATTCACTAAGGTGAATAAAAACCAGGCCAGTAGAGATTGTAACAAGGACAACTCTGCCTCCTCAGTCCTGAACACATCATTTGAAAGCTAGGGTTTTTGTGTACAGACTTCCTTCCACATTTGTGTTTTGACTTTTGCAGATGTGATTATTCACAGATTTTATTAAAATGTTATCTCTAGGGTCCTCATGACCAGTGGGAAAGTGGAGGGAACCATCTTACTCCATTCACTCCTGTCTTTCCTCATCTTCTGGGATGGCCAGCCATCCCATGTCCTTACCTCATCAATGCCTGCCTTTCTCCCCCTTTCTGCCATTTCAAGATGAATTTAGGGCTCTGTTTCCATGCACTGCAGGAATGGAGGTGCCCTAAATTATGTGGTGGTCTCTGTGGGGCTCTGTTTCCATAGCACATGGAAACGGAGCACTAAAACTGTGTGATGAAGTCCTAGAAATGGTTTAATTAATGTTTTTGTACTGTTTTAATTAATGGTTTATGTATTTTATGTATTTTAATGGCTTGATGGTTGTTTTTTTTTGTATTTAATGGTTATTGTATTTAATTGTTTATGTGTAACAGCATCGAATCGCTGCCAATGTACGCTGTCCTGAGTCCCCCTTCAGGGGTGGAGAAGAGACGGGGTAGAAATACTGGAAATAAATAAATTAAATTAAATCAATAGAAATCTCTAGTTCCTCCAATGTGACTCCATAGTCAACTCCCATCAGTCATGCTGGAGAACCTAGATATTCCTTCCAATTCTATGTTCAGGTTCCAGCAGAGGTTGATGACAGAGCTCAGCAGGAAGACCTACAAATTCCTATAGAACAACTCTGTAGCAAAATGTATGGTTTTTCACTTCCATTGCAGTCCTGTGCTCCTAACCTCAACTATTTATTTATTTATTTATTTATTTGCGGTATTTATATACCACTTTTTTCACCCCTGAAGGGACTCAAAGTGGTTTACAAAAAATAATGATAAATTTCAATGTCTTACATATATAAACCAAATCATAAACAAAACAGCATATGACCAAGCATAAAATACAATAGGACAAATTCATCATAAGACAATAGGACATTTAAACATGAAGTATAAAATTTAAAAAAACTAATAAAAACATTAAAATCACATGATCCAAACTCATAGACACCTACTAAAAACATTAAAACCACATGATCCAAACTTGCAGGCTGGGCCATTCCAGATGTCGATTACCCATATTCCATATTTACTTCTTGTATTGTGTTACTTTACTAGTCAAAAGCTTGGTTCCATAACAATGTCTTTGTTTTCTTTCTAAAGTGGAGGCCTGGCTCTACATACTTGTACTGATGTTTAAACAATGTAATAGTATATTACAAAATTAGTAGAGTTCCTGTCGGTGACACTGACATGTGGAATTTGAAATTGCTCAGGCATATTTCTTATTTTGAATGTTGTGCAATGAGCTGTTCTCTACTGTTTTCCTCAACATCTACAACCATACCAGTATCTGTCAAATGTTAGGGATCCATCTATTGTTATTTACTGCCTGGGGGAAGACTAATGGGGTCCCTATCACAATGGTATACAATTATTGCTCCACTTTAACAGCTATGACTGTGGGCTTCTGGGATTTGTAGTTTAGTGAGACTTAAGAACTCTCTGACTGAGAATCATAAACGTCCTTCCCTAAACTCCAAATCCCAGCATTCCCTACAATATTTATTTTATTATTTATTTATTTGACTTGTATACCGCTACTCCCAATTTGGCTCGGAGCGGTTTACAGCAGTAGATTAAAACAATACAATTAACTTTAAAATACAATAAAAACAAGAGCAGACATAGTCCCAAGTTATTCACCCATCGAAAGCTTGTCGGAAGAGAAAGGTTTTTCAGGCTTTCTGAAAAGCAAGTAGGTCTCGGATAGATCGAGTTTCAACTGACAAGGCATTCCATAAATAAGGGGCTACAATCGAGAAGGCTCTCTGCCTAGTAGAGGACAGATGATAAGTCCGGATGTTGGGGACTTCAAGCAAATTTTGGTCTTCGGACCGAAGTAATCTCTGGGGTTGGTAGGGGGATGTGTAATATAGTGCCATAAAGTGTACTGTGAGAGATCCTAGCCAACTCCTATCCAGCTCTGCAACACTTTTGCAGCTGGGCCAGAGCGGAGGAAATAAGGTCATTTCCCCATATTTCCAGTGAATCACTGGGGAGCCAGGAGAGTAGCAACAGTTGCTTTTCCCCAGTGCAAAAAGGGGCTTCCTGAAAACATTTCTTCTCCCTTAGCCAGAAAGTGGCTATGTCAAGGCTTGACAGCAACATCATGTAGTTGAAATCATGCAATGCAAGATTTGCTATTGTGTGTCTTCAAGTCATTTTGGACTTTTGTGTAACCCTGAGGTGAACCTATCACAGGATGTTCTTGGCAGAATTTATTCAGAATGGGCTT